GCTTTAAGGTCCCTTCAACACAAACCAGGCTGGGACTCTGTGATCTGTCCTCAGGGATGATACTCCATGTTTATGAAGACGAAGTAAGAGCAGTGCTGCTGCTTGGAGTACAAAGGAGCTGTTGTGGCCTCTTGGCAAAAGACCAAGGAAAAGCCAATGGCAGTTTTCCAGATCCAAGCCAGAGCATTGAAAATAATCTTCTCATCTAAGGGGGTTGGAGCATGAAGTCTCTGCTCTGAATCCAGGGGATCTGTGGTACAACCAGTGGGGTTTACAACACAGTTTAAGCTATAAAGTTAGTTTTCATGTGTTCTGTGTGTCAGGGTCCTGACAGTGCCTCTGAAGCAGTCCCATGCTGGGAGAGAGTTGCTCTGTTCCAGCACAAACTGTGCTAACAGAGGCCAGGAGCGAGCTGTGAGTCAGGATGTTTGGAGGGTTACCAGTGTTTGTTTTTCCTAACTGGGATATGACTCCGGGTTTTGAGACAGCAACTCCAAGTCCAGTCATCTGCTGCATTCCAGAGAGGGCAGGAAGCAACTCCAGCATCCGCAGTCATGGAACCATGGAGTTATGGAATGGTTTAGTGTGAAGAGACCTTAAAGCTCCTCCAGTCCCAACCCCTGCCATGGGCAGGGACACCTTCCACTAGAGCAGGTTGCTCCAAGCCCCTGTGTCCAAGCTGGCCTTGAACACTGCCAGGGATGGGACAGCCACAGCTTGTCTGGGCACCCTGTGCCAGTGGAACTGTTCTTTCTCTCTCCAGTAATGCAGTACCTGCAACTCACACAGTGCCTGGGCCACCAGAGCATAGGCAGAAATGGGTCCTGCTTCTGAGCCTGTGGAACCTTTGCTTTTCTAGAGGATGTATAAAGGATGTGCTCATTCCTTGCTCTTGCTCTATGAAAGGGTACACGATGTGGAATGCAGGTTCCTGCAGGATACACCGCTGCCCTTGGTGTGGGGTTTGCTGGGCTGGGCTGGGTTGGTGGGTGGGGTGGCTGGGTTGGCTTTGGTATACTTTGCTTTTAATGTTAGGCAGTTCTCCCCTGGGAGGTGGTGGGACACTGGCACAGGCTGCCCGGAGGGGCTGTGGCTGCCCTGGAGCTTTTCAGCCTTCTCAGAGCAGAGCAGTGAGCGGGTGCCAGGCAGAGTGAGCAGTGTCATCACTAACCTCAGCCTGCCCTGGAGGGGTTCACATCACTTCTGGTCACTGCTAAGCAGAGGAGGGGCTGAAGGGGGGCTGAAGGGAGTCTGAAGGGTCTCCCTGTCCATCTCCAAGCCTCCAGTGGGGCATGGGCTGCTTTGAGCATCCTCAGATCCTGCTCCCCACTGCTGGACACAGCACTCCTCATGTCGTCTGTCCTCGGGCCATGCTGTCCTGCCACGGGAATGTGTTTTCCTTCAGGTCTACCCTCAAAAAGGCTTTTCCATGGTTTCAGCTCCAGAGCCGGGATGGTCCCTGGCACTGCGTGAGGATGGTGACCTGGTGGTGTCAGACCACAGCCCGCATGCAAGGGAAGGTGTCACTTGCTGCCTTTGGCTCCCAGCTTAGCAAGTGCTGGTCCTGCCACAGCTCCTACATCCCTCTGAGCCTCCCGACATGCCCAGGGCAGCAGCTAGCTAATCTGCTGTCCTGAAACACGGATAATGTGTGCACAGTAAAGCCACTCCAATGTCCTGTCCCCTGCACAGGGACACGCTGCTCCTCCAGCAAGGGCAGCAGCTCACAGCTCCCCAGGCTGCTCCATCACTGCCTCACAGGAGCATTTCAGCAGCAGTTTAACAGCAGCTCCAGAAGAAACTTCCCTCATTACAACACCATCCCATCGGACACACGCTCCTTTCTCCCACCTGGAGCTCCTCACACCAGCACCTCCAGCGCGGTGGGACCAAGCACATAGAGCTGCCTCCCATCCTCACTGCCCATGGGCAGCTGTCCCTGTCCTTCCCTGGTCCTGCTGCCGCAGGGTCTGCTCACCAGGAAGGTGCTGCACTGGAGCAGGGGAGTCCCAGTGCTCTTGCACCCATGGAGACGAGGGGCTGCGATGCCACCAGAGCCAGCACATGGGCACCGTGTCCATGGGAAGCCTGATCCTTCCCAGGGCTGGAGCATTAAGATGCCACCGGGCTGAGGTCATGGCCTGAAATACCCCTGAGAGGGCCACAGCTCCAGGCCAGCGCTTTCCTGGGCAGCGCAGAAGCCCGCAGTCCAGCACAAATGCTGCCAATGGGACCCCCCATGCCCAGCCCAGCTCCAGCCACCAGCCTGCACAGGGACCTGGAGCAGCGGGCATGGGAACCAGGGCCGGCAAAGCCTCAGATGAGCAGCCTGCTCTGGTGGAAGGGGTCCCTGCCCATGGCAGGGATTGGAGCTGGAGGAGCTTTAAGGTCCCTTCAACCCAAATCAGGCTGGAACTCCATGCAGGCAGGATCCAGGTAGACCCCAGTGCCAGCAGATGGGTCAGGGGCCGGGATGGGCATTCCCTGGGGAAGTGCTCCTTGCCCATAGGCAGGGGCTGCTCCTCCCCCACCCCACCA